AAGTTCATCCTGTGATTGAAATTTCACCATGGTGGTTATTAGCTAGAATGAAACCGGACTTTATGAAAGAAATTAATGATGTTCTAAGACTACTCTGTGGATCTTACAAAATTAAAGGAAAACGGGTGAACAAACCAGAAACTTATAGAGACTATTGTAATGTTTGTAATAGCAATTTCTTAAATCCTGTAAAGCATGCATTACTTTATTGTAATGGCACAAGCCAATTAAGAGAAGAACTATGGGAATGGATAAACGATACTATGCCAATCGAAATGGCAGTACATTTAGCAAGTTTGACAGATATGGAATTTCTCTTAGTTATATTAGGTAAAAAGTTAGAAGCATTATGTGCAAACACAGACATATGGACGGAGCTATTGCTGAAATCTGCAAGTTATGTTTCCTTTTGTTATAGGAGTAATTTAGTTAGCTAGTTAGGTAACAATAGTTAGTTTTTTCACTATCTTTATTTTATTATTAATACTTCCTTTGTAAATATACCTACTCTTCAGAAATTGGAGGCAATAAAGATTTAAAACTGACTGACTGACTGACTGACTGACTGACTGACTGACTGACTGACTGACTGACTGACTGACTGACTGACTGACTGACTGACTGACTGACTGACTGGCTGGCTGACTGACTGACTGACTGACTGACTGACTGACTGACTGACTGACTGACTGACTGACTGACTGACTGACTGACTGACTGACTGACTGACTGACTGACTGACTGATAAGTTTGAATTTCCTCCCAGTCATCACAATACTGTGAAGTTTCGAAGAAACTTCACACTAAAAACCACACATTGCAGATAGATGTCATCCCAGGTTTGTTCAGAGAAATATTGTGACCATTGTAATAGAGAGATGCCTTTGTTGGTTTCCCATCTCTTCCAGTGCAACCTATTTCTTGATAATAGCACTCAATCATTCTTGGAACTGTAATATGAATGACATGCCTATTGTCATGAATGTTAATACCAATTCCTATTGCAACCATAGCAAAAACAACACAAAATAGATCTTCACTTGTCTGGACCTTCCAATTGCTTCATTTCATTTTTCATTAGTTCAGTTTGCGGAGAATGAAACTGGGTAAAAAGACAATTCTCAGGTTTTATGACTCCTGGAGGGAAATAACTTTTTTCACCCAGTATATCGGAGAAAAGCTTGATCGGAGAAAAGGTTGAATGCGTAACCAAACCACTTTAGTGGCAAATATATTAATGTGAGTGGATACTCTCTTAATAAATTCTTCAAATCATTCGCGATGGGAACTAGGATTGTTTGAAACTGTCTTCGCCTGCAGATGCTACAATCTTGGCAAAAAGTTCATAGAACGACAAAACAAATTCGCAACTTTTTAATATACTTGGGGTTTAAAATCATTTTGCATTTCCCCCCATTCAATGTTGCTCTCCCACATTTCTAGTACACATACAATTTTGTTGTACAGTAGGTCAGATAACAAATATACACGAAACGGCAACATTTAATTGGGGGGGGGGGAGGCCTTAAAAATGCATAAAAATTTATCGTCGTCCTACGCTTTATGGCCAAGATTGTCTGAAAATTGCTACATGTTCATTTCCACGAAAAATGAATTTAAGCTTGTACAAGACACTTCCGCTAATTTATTCTGCATAAAAATATCAAATATGATTGGTATATGTGTTGGTGCATATTATTTACGTCTTTAGTTAAGGTGGCTCTGCTAAGGTGCTCAAGTTATATTTGCTTTCAGGTTACATATAAGACAATCATGGTCTTACTCTGGTAGAAGTTGTATAATCAAAGTTCAATCGCTTTTGTATAAATAAGACCATACTCCTATGAAATATCTGTTTTTAAATATATATTCCAGTTATTCTTAAAAGAAGGCAATCTATATGATATTAGTTAAATGTTGGCATAAGTGTCACAATTCTGTTTGTTGGTATTTGGTAGGAAAATTCGGGCTTTGGAATGGACAATGACAGTACTCACCATAACATGAGTTAAGACAATGTCTATATCTCATATTAAGTTTGAAGGTTTTACTGAGAACTGTCAATTATTGTTTCAAATCTACAATTTGTTTTAGCCATTTGCCATGAGATTGTAAGGACAGTAACAATGAACAAAATGTTGTGTATATTTTATGTATTTATTTACAATATGACTAATAATTAAGCAATTACTGTGAGTACTGTTCACAAGTACTGTCAGTTAGTTATTAAGCTACTAGAGTTCATTTATACATATATAGATAGTATTTTGTCCGATACGGTCCCAGACTTAATTAGTACATCAACACATTTTGGTAAACTTGTGATTGTTTTATCAATGACATCATAAGGACGACCCAATGTTCAATTGTAAAGCCTGATGCCGTCTATGCCTCTACAACGGCATCAGCAAAGCTCTTTTTGGTGCGAAATTTCTGAGTGTTTGCTCTGGTGTATGTGGCTATATACACGATTCATTGTTGTGCACATGATATAGTCCTCATATCTATAATTATGATATGTTGGATCTTACACAGCAAGATTAATTAAAAATTCTATTTGTCAATTGGAGTGTGTAGCTTTAACTGAAAATATGTATACAAAAAAAAATATCTAGAATTACGTTGTATCAGTCAGCCTTTATAACAATTACTGTCTGGTTGAAAATAGACATATATGATATTTGAAGAGAAGATTATGGCCCTACCCAGAAACTCTGTATGAAATTGCAGTATACAATATTTATTAATATCTACCTATCGTTCAATATTTAGGAATACCAGAATGACTCTTGAAGTGTTATCCAGTAATACAAGAACATAGGTACATTTTTGAATATTTCTACAACTGGTATTCTAAATTTAATACATATATATGTCAAGGATTAAAAATATAATTTTCGGAGCAATCTTGGCCAAACGTTTGTAGAACGACAAAACAAATTCACAACTTTTTAATATACTTGGGTTAATGGGCTATATACCAAGTCATGGGTGACGTCGTGAATAATTATCATAATCGACAAAGCAACTTTATTATTTAATATATATTAATTACGTCATCAATATAAACTATAAGGTTTATTGTAGGTTTTGGTTAAGTCTTCGGATCCTAAGGTCTTTGGGTTTCTAGGTCTTTGGGTTTCTAGGTCTTTATGTTTCTAGGTCTTGAGGTTTCTAGGTCTCTGGGTTTCTATGTCTCTGGGTTTATAGGTCTCTGGGTTTCTATGTCTCTGGGTTTCTAGGTCTCTGGGTTTCTAGGTCTCTGGGTTTCTAGGTTTCTAGGTCTCTGGGTTTCTAGGTCTCTGGGTTTCTAGGTCTCTGGGTTTCTAGGTATCTGGGTTTCTAGGTCTCTGGGTTTCTAGGTATCTGGGTTTCTAGGTCTCTGGGTTTCTAGGTCTCTGGGTTTCTGGGTCTCTAGATCTCTGTATTTATAGGTTTCTGAGTTTCTGGGTCTCTGGGTGTGTGGGTTGATGGGCCTATGGGTCTCTGGGTTTCTGAGTATCTAGGTCTCTGGGTTTCTGTAAACGTATGAACAATGTGTTAGTTGTTCAAACAGTTCTATATCTTGTAACTGTTGTAACACGAATTAAAGCTAGTATAAACGGTTCAAGCTTTGTGATCGAATCAGTCATGAGTCTCACATTGACACTTGTTAAGGTTATACACAGTATAATGACGTGACCGAAAGCGCTATTAAGTATTATAAATTACAATCAACTTGTTGCGATTTATATATAGATATTGAGTCTGCGAATAATCATTGGTTTCGACATGTACACTTTGACTGGGGTTCAAATGACACGAGAATCTAACTTGTGTTTGACAAAAAATATAATCCAGTGTCGCAGTGTCGTATATTCCTAATTAAAAGTATATGAACCATATTGGCAAAAGGAAATAAGTCGGTGGTCGCGTGTGGTTAATTTAATGAGATTATGCCTACGCAATTTGCAATGTTTCCTTTTCTGCTCAGTAATATACATTAATTTTAGATTTCAATTTAGACTTTTTAATAATAGTGCGCTCTAATACACGTTCAGGTTAAAATTTAATTTACAACTAATTCGTACCTTAATAAAACTTTTCCTTAAACCTATTCTTACCACAACCTTTACTTCGTCTATCCAAATTCTAAGCAAATACGTAAGAGTTATGTGACCAACCCACCAGGCTGAGACCTCAAACATAATAAAACTCTAGACTGCTGGTACAAATGAAACACAACAGTATTGCCAAAAAACATATATATTCTCATTAATGGATATACTTCTAATAGATCACTGCTAAACAGCACTAAAAATAGCTCTATCATATCAAATTCGAATACCGGATAATTAGCATTATCATGAAAGGAACTATATGGGAGTATAGAGTTTTAATATTTTTGGTTTTGTTGAAAACGCCACGTTTATTTATTTATTTATTTGATAAAGTTTTCTATCCATACGCCCGGATCTTCATTAGTGCTGATATCCTATATATACAAAATCATATACATATTCACACCATGTCTAAGGATTTGCACTGATAGTGAAGATCTGGGTTTACAGATCTAAAGCTTTAATTGACAAATAATGAACTATATTTATTGACTATATTATGAGCAAGCTCATAATCCATATATTTTGTTCCTATTTGATTAGGCTGCTGCACAAATGTTCTATTTAACTGTTCAAAAATATGAAACAGGCTTACAAATTAGCTAACTATTAACTATGTATTGTCAATCCAATTCCATGTCAAATTTACTGCTAGATAATATAACTGCTCATATAGCTAAATGTCAACAATTGCAAAACTTGCATGATAATTATTTAAAACAAAACATTGTTCGTGTAAATGTTCAGTTATTCAACTTTCTGCACTTTCGTCATCGTTCCCCAAGCCAATCGGTAGTTGCTCCTCTTGAGAGGCAGTGTATTGTGCAAATTGTTCATTTGGATCACTAATTTCTGCACGCAATCGTTGTCGATCGGTCAATGCGCTGTCAACATTGTTGAATATATCTTTATATTCTTCAGATGATATTCCAAATTTGGAGAGACTATCATTCTGGACATCAGTTGGAAGAGTTTTGAAAAAAAAATCAGAGCGATCAACTTGCGCCATTTTTCCAAGTCCGATTTCTTCCAGATAGCTCATTTCATTCTTCACTGCCTCTGTGTCTGGTCTAATTCGTGAACTGAACTTGCGATAAACCAACTTAGCAGTTACAAAAGGTCCAGGGTGTAATATAATTGCCTCCTGAATCTCTTCGGGGCCGATACTGCTTTTTGTCTCTACCTCTCCAAGTTTAGCGGCCTATAAGAAAGATGTGAAAGAAACTAAAGTTATATATATATATATATCAGAACTTGTTACCTGTGAGTGTTTTTTTTACTACATCACTTTTCCCTGTTTATCCGTTGAAAACTATACAAAATTGTACTGTACATCAAATCACACTAATGAAAATAATACCAAGGGAAAAATTAGTTGTTTAATTTAAGGTATTTACCTGTTTAAGTATTGCTCTTTGCTTTTCAAAGTATCCAGCCAGAGCTATAGCTGCTGTCAAGGTTTGCGCGGAGATATTTATTGGGACTTCTTGTACTCTTTGGTCCAGAGCTTGCTCTAGTATATTAAAGAATACATGGATAATGGCTGCCAATCGGATGATATTTTTATCATTTTTCGCGTTGCCATCAGCGCCATCTTGAGGGGATTGGTTGTTCTGACTATGACGGACGTAGATATCGAGAGCTTCTTCTTCTAACGAGTAAACCACGTTGTCGCTGTTGTTATGTTTTGCGTATATTCGTTCATATAGCTTTTCGAGAGAAGTCAGATTGGTTTCTTTTAGTTTTTTGCTGGCTTCGATACGTTCACTTATTGGAGCACTTTTAGCGAATGGAAGGCACACTAGAAATCTATCTAACAGCCCATTACTGTTGCTCACTAGTTTTGGCATCACAAGACGCAAAAAGGCGTTTGGTTGAGTAAAGCACGATAGTGCCAAAGCAGCCGAAGGAACACCCATTCTTTTGTTCGTGTTTCCTTTACTCTCGTACCAGTGTGATCCATCGTAACATTGGAGTAGGCGTTTCATTGATGGGGCTGACGATGCACTCTTGTAACCAACCACCGTCTTGAACCACTCATCAATGGCGCAGAGTGCAACTCGATTTTTGTTTCGGATGTAAAAATTGAAAAGTCCTTTAGACGTAGCATTTTCGATAACAAGTTCTGCTCCAGTTTTCGTCTCCAAATTATGTAAAATGGGTTCAGTTACACAATTTTTGTGGCTTTGGGTCTTACCGGTCTATGGACCACCAAGTGCTAGCATGTACAAGTTGGTGCGTTCTTCGAATCCGTCAAAAATCTCAACAACGGAGTTTCCCATCAATGCACTGACTGCTGGAAATGAACTGGCAAGGATGAATTCTTTGCATGTTCCTTTTGCGAGTGCGAACGTTGTCAACCATTCATTTATCTTCTGCGGTGCAATATCTTTCCACGGGATCGAGCAATCTTTAGCTTCGTTTATAATAGTTTCAATTGAAACAACTTCTCGTGTTGCCATTCTTTCTATTAACGGAATCGTTCTTTGACTTTCAGGGTAAAATCGACTAGAGTTTAATGCAGTGTTCTAATGGTCTATGCCGGCTACTTTAAGGCTGATGTAAAGAGAGTAGCTTCTTTTATAATGACTAGTGAGAACAAGCCAATCATCTTAAACATACTTCGGCACTTTTGGGCTTGGCAGAACTAATTGCTCACACGGCACACCCATTTTATGTCGGAACTAACAAAAATTGTTTTTAAGATAAGACTAAGAGTTGGCTGATGAAAGTGCCAGCTGTCTTAGGATAAATAATTCCAATACATCCGATTCGATATGTAAAGCAGAGCCATCTAATGAAGACATGAAAAAAGGATTTACTACAATATTTGTTTTCTAATTGCTTCAATTATTAAATTATGAATGTCGACATTAATAGAAATACGAAATGTGTCAATAAAATACTATATCGCATTTAAAATACGGATCTGTGTGACGGGCATTCGTATTTTTACTGATTCTTTTATTAATATACTCTCAATGCTTTATAAATTATGTTATTCATGTGTATATTTGTGATTCACAGTATGTACAAGATGACTGTCTTCTTATATTGAGTTGTACATGTCAAGATTAACTTTCAGTCACACAGAAAATTTTCACCCTATTTTTATTGCAGCATAGGTTGTAGAAAGCCAGCTGAATAACTTATTCGTGAACCGTAAATCACAAAATGGCTAACTAAACCAAGTAAAACGTGCTATAGTACATCTAGCATTTTGTAAATAAATATTTTTCTTCTTTCATGCATGGTAAGCAGCACCGATTTCTAATTAAATAGTATGTCAATAATGAACCGTTCTGTTCCATAACAGGATGACAATTTAACACAATGAAGTAATAATTGATAAGAATTTAATCCCATCAAGACATTAGCATCACATTGACACTGTTTCATCACTCGACACTTCTGGAACTCGGAGCTTGGGGCAGTAAATAATCGACTTCATGGCGTCAAGAGTCAGATGCAATTTAGAATTATATGCACTCTAGCTGAATGTCCCTATTTGTCGTGTGTCGTGGGTTGAAAGTCGTGTATCGTGAGTGTGGGTAAAGTCGTGGGTCATAACATGATTGTGCTAAAAACGCATTTTTTCAAGAAAATATTATTTTTATTTTTAATATCTTTTTCTTAACAGAAAAGTAAATGTTTCCATTTGTAACTTTGGAATCATTATAGTCCATACAACACTTGTCGCAAATGATTATGCCGACTATTGCACGTTATGCACAAACACACTGAGTCGAGCACTAATTTTTGTGGCGTTCGAAAGCAACACCCTTTCGATAATTATGTCAGACATTCTTTTTGGTCTTGGAGGCTCGTTCTCATTAGTAAATTACGCAAGGTAATTGGCTCACGATTCATGAGAGCGAGGCGCCCAGGCCAAATGAAGTAATTATGGAAAGGATGTATTCTGCGATTTTCTGCAAAAGTAATTTCGCGATTTTCGCCAACAGAGCGCATTGCCAGCCGATTTTGAGGAGAATATTACAGAATATGGTACCTCTAATCTTGATGCGGATAGCCCTGACAAGTAACCAGGCCACTCACTCATTGTATCGTTTTTGCCTTAGTCACATGCATGTATCATGATGTTCGCAACGAAAAAAATCGTTTTTAGCACATTTTGTGACCCACAACATTACCCACGTACCCTCACGACATATGACTTTTAACCCACGACACACGACATATAAGGACACTCACTCTACCTTGATTATAACTATTAACTCAAAATAATTGTTTACACCGCAAAATAATCTACCCATTGCTGTGTTTAGAACAATTTTATGGTGTCGTAAATTTCGGGAATTGAAGTTTCGTTATTAATGTACAGTTCGATCTTAAAATAAATTATGGAAAATTATTGTAAAAGTAGCATACGTGTGATTTATTAATAAAATTGAGAACAAATATATAAATGTAGTTCTATGACAAAATTTCATGAAATATACTGCTTTTGTAAAGAAATCTGAAAGTTGGTACAAAAAACGTGTATGCTTAGTATAAAAGCGAGTAGAATGAAAATCATTATTAGATTTTGTAATATAATTCTATTAATTATAAAGCAACACGCCCCCAGACATTAAATTGGAAATTGAACAGCTACTACAACTACATGCTTGCTAGTTATATGCTATGTGAACAGCTACTACAACTACTATATGCTAGTTAATTGAAGTTTTTGTATCTATTGTATGATTCTGGTATATTGTGCCGCGTGTAATCATGCTTTGTTGTTTCAGATGATTTTCACCTATTAGGTGTGTTATTGAACGTTAACGAGTTCTTAACGAGATTATTACCACGCCTTTGAGAATGAATGACAATCGTAAGTGCTTTAAAAACCGCGGATATACTTGACCTAGTGCATGTGAAAACATTCAGGGATTCCTACGGCATGGTGGAAAAGGCGGAGTACGGAGTCTGTCAAGAAATTATTTATTTTGCCTAAAGATTCGATTTTAACAAGACTCCGCGTTTTCCACTTTATGGGGGCATAAAGTGGAAAACGCGGAGTGTGTCAAAAGATTGTTTATTTTGCTTAAACAATTTTGTGGTTTGTCAACAATACGGACCTTCTGGATCTTTTTACCGATATTAATATAAGGAACTCATTGGCCTTGACAATGAGAGGACTTGCTATGTCAAGTCGCATCACATGTGCTTTTCATTTGGTACAAAATGTCGTTTAAGATAAAATCCAATCTCTGGGAGAAATAAACAATGTCTTGACAGACTCCGCGTTTTCCACTTTAAGCCCCCATAAAGTCGGACACACGGAGACTTGTTGAAATCGAATATTTAGGCAAAATAAACAATTTTTTGACAGATTCTGTACTCCGCACTCCAACTCCGTACTCCTTTTTCTGCTGAAATCTCCCCATTATTTCTCGTGCATGTTGCTATTTCCACGGCGATAATTAGGAACGGAATGGCATTCCTGAATGTTTTGACGTGAAAACGTTGCATGTTTTTCAAGGTTAATTTTAATGACTTCAGGGTATTTTGTCAATATTACCTGCAAATTTACCAACCATGTCAGTTCTAGTGCCGATTCATTCAACCAATATAACAACATACTCCTAAGGTTAAATAACTCTCTGTCTCTGCACATCGTCATCTGTTTCACATATGCTAGGATATTTCCACTCATAACTTTATTTTTGCAACATTTTCAATTTGTATACACACCCACACATGTATCAATACGTATTTCCGTTCAGATAAAATAAATATAGCTTGAGAACCCAAGCTTTAATTCATTGCTGTACATTATTCAAGATATAGATAATATTCTTCGGTCAGTAGTTCATTTATCACAAGAAAATGTCTAAGTTTGTTTTGTTGTTTTTGGTTCCCATGTCAATTATTTCTATTAGTATTGTCGAGGGGATCCCTTCTGCTTGGATACAATACATAAAATGTGCCATTGATGCATATGAAAATTCCAATTGGAATGGAATTGAAACGCAATGTAGAATTCCGACAAGAACGCTTTTTCACAACGATATTGAGCAATCTTCGAATGTCGTTCACAATCCTTCGTTGATTTTTTGGCATCCACTTGTACAATATAATGCATATACTATCCTTCATTGTCCCATTTGTCAAGGTCGACTAAGAAAATGGCGGTGGAAAGATGGTTCCTCTGCACGAGACAACCCCAGGAAACTTATCTGCTTGCAAAATAATGTTTTCCTTGTTTCATGTGTTTATCTATGTGAGCAATTTCAACATGAAATTATTGGTCATGATCCTGCACTTCTCAATTCATTACGGACCAGATTTCCCTTTCTACGCATTCCTTTCGTTCTATTCCACAAGTCTGGAGTAACAAGAGAATTATATGAGTTCATTTCATCAAGCATCCAGACTGGCATTCAGCTTATGGATATTGAAAAAATGATAATCCAGCTACACAGCGCAAGACACTACCGTGAAGCTTGTGAATTTGAAACTTTAAAAACATTGGAGCAAACTCCTAGTGCACAAGAGTTTCCCGAATTTTTTCCAGAAAAAGAAGGTATAAGTAGAAAGCTAATTTCCAAGATATTTCTTCAAAGCTTTTTAGATGTTGAACACATGTACATCCAGCACATGGCATCAATGAACGGAAAATGGATTTCAGCTGATCATACGTTTAAGGTATATAAATAATTAGTATTTATCACGTTAATATGTAGCATCTGCCACAAGATAGCAGCTTGTGAATGCATGTAAATTTGACCAAGACGAACAAACATGCAATTCAATTAAATTGCAAAGAGTACTGAAGAATTCTCTCACGATCGATTAACGGCTAACTGATGGCCTGCATCAATCGTTTTGATTTTCTTTCACATGCAGTCATAATTTATGAATGTTAAATTTAGTTCATGATTGTTAGAGATAGATTATTATTTTATATTTTATATTTTTTTAGGTAACAGCTAATATTGGCTATTGGAAACATGGAAAATGGAACAAACTGTATGATTCCCTGTTTATCGTTATGAATGAAAACAGCAACATATTATCATGGCAATTTACCAAAGGTACATCTATAGATAATGTCACTTGCTTGCTTCGCGCTTTAAATGCCCGGTTGACTTCTAACGGAAAAGCAATTGAAGGGATTATTGTAGACAACTGCTGTTCTCTTCAGGCAAAATTAAAAAACATTTTTGGTGAGAACTCCATAATAAAATTAGATTTGTTCCACGCCATTCAGAGAATTATTGCACAGATTCCAAAGCGGCGGGTTAATGCAGCACTTCGAAAGACACAAAAACTTATGATCAAAGAATTGCGTCTGTGCTTCCGTGCGCATGACGACATTGGTCAAATTCGAAAGCAAGTTACTCCATCTTCCAAGGAACTTGAAAAAAATCTTTGTAGTTTCGTGAAGAGATGGCAGACAGAAACGATTGACGATGTTTGCGTCCTTCCCAAATCAGCCGTAAATGAGGTTGAAAAATTACTTAAACATGTACGGTTGGGCTGTCTTAGCAATATCCCAGCAGGCATTGGAACGAACAGAAACGAACGTCTTCATCGTAAGTTGAGAAAATGGATTAATAAAAACCGAATGGGTGTAAGTTATGCAGTGGCTGTCCTTTTCCTAATATTTTACAATCATATGGAACAAAACAAAAAGTGTAGTAATGGAGCAAAAGGAAGAGAAAGGCATGTTATTCCCCCTGTCACCAAATGGTATCAAACATTTCTGAAGAATGGTGGAATTGAAACATCAGAGAAATTCGGTATCGGAGTAGGTAAAGTGCGAGATTTACCGAGTGATATTTTGGCAGGCTCTGAAAACTGTAACACAAATCTTGGAGAAATCTACTGCACATCAGAAACTAGTAGCCATGACGATTCAGAATCAGAATGTGATACCGATCATACCGTTGATGCAGAAATGATGTCAAACGATGATGCTAATAACATCATTAGCAGAGCCAAAGTTATGATGAATCTGGCGAAGGAAGTTTTCAATAAAACACAAGCTCCCATTATGTCATGTCAGTCAAATTGGTTAGATCACGCATCGTCGTCGTTACTTTTCTCACATCCAGACAGTAGTGTCTTGTGTGAATACGATAAAGCTTCAGAAAGATTAAATAATGTTGTCAGTAATTATGGTTTTGAAGTGCTGCCCGTTGATGGTGATGGGGATTGTTGCTTCACTTCTGTTGGTTACGGGATAGAAAAATTCTTTGATTTAGATCCTTCCCCATTAACAGACCACTTTAAAGTGATCAATATTTACAAAAACCAAGATGTATGTGAAAGGGTAGTATGTTTGCGGGAACTAGTTGTGATGGAGTGGCTTGGTGAATATAGTCATGAATATGAAATGTTTCTTACTGTTGCCGATAAATCTTCATTTTATGAAATGGCACAACAATTTATCCAACGAGGGGTTTTTGATTGCGAGTTAGGTAATAGCGTGCTTATGGCTCTCAGCAATGTTTTAAAATGTCCAGTAGTTATTTTCACTTTGATCGAGACCTACCCAATCATACCTCTGATTCCTAGACAGGCTCCTTTATCGGCAATTCCTATTTATGTTGCCTTTAACCAAAGTGGTAAAGGTCACTATGATGCGATTGCGTCGCAGATACAATGTGATGCTGGAGTTGAAAATAAGAGCCAGTCAATTGTAACATCCTGTAGATGTGGTCGAGGAAGTAATAAAGAGACCGGGAAAAGCATTTGTTCTGATTACAGTTCTCGATGTAAATGTTTTCAGAGAATACAAGGTTGCAGCGACAAATGCGGATGCAAGAATTGTAATACCCTTATGGAAAAAGAGTGGCTAACGAAACTAAAACGATTAGCAGAAAGCGAAGAAAACACAACAACACCCCCAAAACCTCCGGTGACTTATTTGCAGATCATGGCGAAGAGTTTCCTCGCAACTTGTGGAATGATTATGATCATTTCATTTTGCAACAAATAGTTTACAGCCAAGTCGCTTTTGGGGAACAGGAACCGGACTATGATCGTCTATATGAAACTTTCTTATTTGTTTTTAAGTTGACAGGTTCAACAAATACCAGTGTCCAGTCAAAGGATAAGGTGACTAGAATTATCAAAAACATTCTAGCACAAAGAAAATTAGTCCTATCATCGCTACAACGTGAGATGGAAAGAAGTTGGTCTTCCTGAGTATTCGAGTACTGCCTCTCAGGAGCAGCGATGTCGCAGATGACGAAAGTGCAGAAAGAACTAAATAACCGAACTTTATGTGGCGAACAATTTAAATAATTATCAAGTTTTGTTGACATTTATATGAGCGCTTATGTACACTGAGATATAAAAATATATTATATTCTGGCTAGCTTTAAATTAACTAAAGTATTTTGTTTCAAGTATGACAATTGACATGCAGTGAGCCTATGTAATTTTATTAAAGATATTGATTTTTTATATTATATAGCAGTAAATTTGACATGGAATTGGACTGAATACATAGTTAAAAGATAGCTAATTTGTAAGCCTGTTTCACATTTTTAAACAGTTTAAATAGAACGGCATTTATATAGTAATCAAATAGGAATAAAATTGGAACAACAGGTTTTGAAAAGTATGGATTATGGGCTTGTTAATTATTTGTCAATTAAAGCTTTAGATCTGTAAACCCAGATCTTCACTATATCAGTGCCGCAAATCCATAGACATGGTGTGAATATGTAATGTATATGATTTTGTATATATGGGATAGCAGCACTAATGAAGATCCAGGCGTATGGATAGAAAACTTTATCAAATAAATAAATAAATAAATAAACGTGGTGTTTTCAATATCTATACTCCCATAGTTCCTTTCATGATAATGCTAATTGTCCAGTATTCGAATTTGATATGATAGCACTATTTTTAGTGCTGTTTGGCAGTGATTTATTAGAAGTATATCCATTAATGAGAATATATATGTTTTTTGGCAATATTGTTGTGTTTCATTTGTACCAGCAGTCTAGAGCTTTATTATGTTTGAAATCTTAGCCTGGTAGGTTTGTCATATAACTCTTATACGTATTTGCTTAGAATTTGGATAGAAAGTAAAGATTGTGGATAGGTTTAAGGAAAAGTTTTATTAAAGTACTAATTAATTGTAAATTAAATTTTAACCTGAACGTGTATAAGAGCGCACTATTATTAAAAAGTCTAAATTGATAAATGTATATTACTGAGCAGAAAAGGAAACATTGCAAATTGCGTAGGCGTAATCTCATTAAATTAACCACACGCGACCACCGACTTATTTTCTTTTGCCAATATGGTTCATATACTTTTCATTAGGAATATACGACACTGGATTATATTTTTTGTCAAACACAAGTTAGATGCTCGTGTCATTAGAACCCCAGTCAAAGTGTACATGTCGAAACCAATGATTATTCGCAGACTCAATATGTATATATAAATCGTAACAAGTTGATTGTAATTTATAATACTTAATAGCACTTTCGGTCGCGTCATTATACTGTGTTTAACCTTAACAAGTGTCAATGCGAGACTCTTGACTGATTCGATCACAGAGCTTGAACCGTTCATACTAGCTTTAATTCGTGTTACAACAGTTACAAGATATAGAACTGTTTGAATAACTAACACATAATTCATACATTTACAGAAACCCAGAGACCTAGATACTCAGAAACCCAGAGACCCATACAGTAGGCCCATCGACCCACACACCCAGAGACCCAGAAAATACAGAGATCTAGAGACCTAGAAACGCAGAGACCTAGAAACCCAGAAACCTATCAATACAGAGATCTAGAGACCCAGACACCTAGCAACCCAGAGACCTAGAAACCCAGAGACCTAGAAACCCAGAGACCCAGGGACCTAGAAACCCAGAGACCTAGAAACCCAGAGATCTAGAAACCCAGGGACCTAGAAACCCAGAGACCTAGAAACCCAGATACCTAGAAACCCAGAGACCTAGAAACCCAAAGACATAGAAACCCAGAGACCTAGAAACCCAAAGACATAGAAACCCAGAGACCTAGAAACCTCAAGACCTAGAAACCCAAAGACCTAGAAACCTAAAGACCTTAGGATCCGAAGACTTAACCAAAACCTACAATAAACCTTATAGTTTATATTGATGACGTAATTAATATATATTAAATAATAAAGTTGCTTTGTCGATTATGATAATTATTCACGACGTCACCCATGACTTGGTATATAGCCCATCAACCATACTTGGTTTTTAAAATCATTTTGCACCTCCCCCCGTTCCCCCCATTCAATGTTGCTCTCCCACATTTCTAGTACACATACAATTTTGTTGTACAGTGGGTCAGGTCATAAATATACATGAAACGGCAACATTGAATGGGGGGAAGGGGGGAGGCCTTAAAAATGCATAAAAATTTATTGTCGTCCTATGGTTTATGGCCAAGATTGTAGCATTTATATTTCTCCTTATGCATAAAAATATTTTACCGATCTAAACTAGCAACCACCACACTCAGATTACTGAGCAAAAAAGTGTTTGTTAGCGCTTCTCGTACATCTCGCTTCTCATACATCTCGCTTCTCGGTGCTGTTGCAGTTAGAACTAACAACAGCGGTTTAGGAAAAAGCGATCGTAATTGGGATAGTTTTGCAAAATCTTATGAAACTCCACTCCCCATTCTTCGAAAAAGTGCCCCTCGCCAATAACACCTGATACAACACTGTTATGTAATACACTAGACATAAGAAGTCGTCTCCCATCTTTACAAGAAATGAAAGCTTCTGGATGAGAGAATATTATTTTGAACATTCCTTGTCTGATGTTCCTTACTGTGGATTTTCCTCACAATCCTTAGGTGTATCAGTCTCATATTATTCATTGGCAGTTTGATTTGCACTATGGCTCTTGCTTCTCAAAACAGTTGCTTCAATTCTATGTTCATGCAAGATGGAGATCTGGTTATCGATTACACCGTTTAGTGGACTAACGATCAGAACAATGTTACAACCTGCGTTGTCTTTCATAGCATCCATGGTTTTGTCGAGATAGTTAGCTACATATGGGAGGAGATGGAATATGACTCATTTCCCATAACCAGTTTGAAGTATTCCGATGTTGTCCTGTATTTAATTTAAGAAAAAGATCACTGCATGAAAAGTGACGTATTCTGAAATATTCACATGTCTATACGGGTCAGAAGAAAACGCATACTGCATGAGTATTCTCACGTGGAATATTAGTGTGAATACGGCATAGTATTGTATATTATTATATGGCAAGCATTTGTTTTGATGAATCGTGCAATTTGATTGGCTGCTGACGAAGCAGGATTTTCTCATATTGCCCACGGGCAATATGCAATTTTTATTGCCCTGCAACGAGAGCCGAGTTTCAAACAGCAAAAAGAGTCTAAACGTCTTTCAAACTATTCAAAACAAAGAAAAATAAACCTAAACTAAAGAAAAAGAGCACCTTCTGTGGTTAAAGAACTTTCTCAGCGAAAGTCGAAATTACAAGGTAAATTCTACAGTGTTTATAACTATTAAAGCAGTCACGAATATAGTTGTGTTTTGACTTTGTGAAGAGCTGCATATTTTATTTGCAGATAGCCAGGAGGAATTTGACACCATCCTAAATAAAGTCAGTATTCTAATGTCAGTATTCTATATAAAAAGCGCTGTAGAGTAGTTTTACTAACCAAGAGAACATTTTTTTACAATTGTTCTTTTTTGCAAATGTTTCGGACTTACAGCAAGACCTCAGTTGGATATTTTCCCGTACTGCCCTCACTCTCGGTCAGTAAGTTATTAGTATTCCAAGTGTGAGTATTCTGTGAATATGACGCATATTCCACCCAATATTCACACTTGAATATTTTAATCTTGTTTCATTAGTAACAATTCCACAAGATAGTTACTAATGCTAAAATTCACTCACAATTTTCAAATTTTATGCAAACATTCTTTTGAATGCTCGAGATTGAAAGTGAAATAGACAACAACAAAATTGGACTTGGGCAGTTGAGTTAGCTGCTGTGTCATAAATTTATTAACTCAATTAAAGAAGCAAATGGACAGCAATTTATGATGGAATTTCATGATTTGTAATGTCTGTAGACAAATTTCAGGTATTAGCAAATTATGTTTAGCAAATAGCAAGGTAAATACTTGAAAATTTCCTCTGCACTTGGATGTCTCTACATCACTACATGTTGACATGTATATGGAATATGGCAATATCAAAATTTTTGATATGAACAAAACAGCATTTACTAAACAGTGAAATTGAGCAATTGCAGAATACCCCGCAATTTTTTAAGCTAATACCCCGCTTTCAAGAATACCCCGCTTTCAAGCATCATGGATATGATGTATTAATATTTCTCGTGCTTCGCCCCTAAAATATATAGCTACCCATAACATGAGAATTTGATCTAGATATCAATCTATTTATTATTAATCTATTAAGAATAAATATGTATTAACAAGTTCTGACCGCATATCCAGTGAAATATTATATTAACAAGTTCTGATTGTCTATCCGCGTATCCAGTGAAAATATAGTGGCTACATGATATGATATTACCACTGGACGGGTATTCTGCAATTTAGCCCAAAGGGAATTCAATGTTTTTACCGAGAAAGGTCAATGTTTGTGATGACTTCAATCACAAGACGAGACATGATGACTTCAATCACAATGACGAGAAAGGTCAACGTTTGTTTGTGACTTCGTCTCAGTGAATATTCCCTGACAATCACCTCACCTTCGGCGAATAATTGTTAATTGTCATGAGAATAAACAATATGTTATCTGTGACCGTTCATCCTCAATTGCAAGCAACAGAACTGTCTGTCTCTGTTCTTTGATTTAATCAACCATTCATTCTGCGTTGATCAGTGTGCATAAGCCTCTGGAGAAAGAGGAGGCTGGTCATGCATAGATAAGGCAATGGTCTATAATTATGTCAGACATGGGATGCCAGT